AGCCCTAACAACAATGCTGCAATTTCAATCATAGCAGTTAATAGGCAGTGTTTGTTATTGAACAATTGAAATTGTGTTGTCACCTGAGTGAAATCTAAACAGGAAGCCTGACTGTTTTCACCCAGCACAGATGCATCTCTACTTCTGTTCAGCATAAATCCTAATTGTAGTAAAGTTTGCCTTTTTTTTTCCTGTCTCCACAGACAGCGAAGGGAAGAAGTAGGACCATGTGACCACGTCTCACATGAGGAATGGCAGATTTATCAGACATCAATTCCATGGTGTTGAATAAGCTTCGCCTCGCTGAGAGGCAGAGAATAAAAAAGAAAAAGAAAAAATCAAGAAAAAAAAACTTCTTTCATTTCTTACTAATAAAAGAAGAACCACTTTTATAACTCATCACAGAGGAACTGATGAGCTAACAGCAGGACGGGAAGCAGGACCAGGACCTGTTTGAGGACGAACTACCTGTATAAATCCAGAATCACTGACTTTTAGAGCTTTTGGTTTTACAGAGTTTTGACAGAAGCAGGCGGCATGTACGAAACAAAACATCCCAGAGCGCCGTGCACTCAGCCCAACCAGGGCTGTGGTACTTAACTTTAGAAATGCACAGTTATTGTCGTGTATTATGATGATGATATGACTGAATGTATTGATGATGACTTACACTTTACCACATTAGTGTGGATCTGTTTTTTTTTTTTAAATGGGACAAAAACAGCATTAGGAAGCTAAAAAGTCTATTATTATCCTTATTATTCTCATTATGATTATTGAAGTGGAAGTCCTCCTCCCTCCATAGTGCTGACGCTACATTTGTATTACTAACCTGTAACTTGAGCGTAACCATGTTGATTGTATTGTCTTTATGTGAGAGTAAACCTTCACATTGACCTGCCCAGTGCCATGTAGGAACCCAGTGGTGTATATATTCTGTACAGATTCATGGCAGAGCACTAACATGCTTTATCGTACACTATGTTGATCTCCATCAGCCGTGTATGGGAGCAGAGGGCAGAGCGGGGACGACCGGCAGGAACAGAGCCACTGTTTATCTCGCTGACTTCAGTTTGTCTGCAGCACATGTGGCGATGTCATTGGTTAGACTGCATACGTGATGAATACAATCAGTTTGTGCTTCTTATGAGTGGCAGTGTGCCTGAGGGATGTTAGCGTCTGTGAAATATCTTCACACCTACTGGATGCACTTTCATTATTTGCGTACAGATAGTTTTTCAGGTGTGCTATATTTAGGCCACTGTTGAGTGAAGTATAAGTAGCAGATGATTTCTTTTGAACGCATTGCAAATCTACATCTCATGCATCTGAGATTTGTACATCAGAGAAGGACATGGCCACTGTGACTTCCTTTACTTTTGAAGCCTCACCTTTACCATTTTGGTTCCCACCATGTTAGTCTGTTTGGAGTTCATATTTGGCCTCGGTAGTGGGGTGCTAAGTTATCAGCTGGCTAGTTACATCCATAGACTCTAACAGTGCAATGCACAGACACAGATATCTGCTAATTAGTGCTATATAAGAGAAATTTACATAGCACTAATTACTAACTATAACTTAAGCACAATTTAATTTTTTTTGCACGAGCATGTCCTGCGCAGCAGGTCATACAATGTAGAATGTATATAGAGTTTTGTTAAAAATGTTTCAAAAGGCACCAACGGCACAAACACAGTTGAGAGAGGAGAAGAGGTGAAGGCTAGCAGACAGTGATCGGGTACAGCTACCTGGGTTGGCACACCTGTCCCCCTTAACAAAATCCAAAGCTGAGCAGAAAAATAGATTCGTCCCTTATAGAGTTCTTATGAAAGAGCAGAATTAACTAATTTTATAGCTAATTTTTTTGCAGGAGCATTGATTCATTTTGGAGCTAGCCTCCAGCAGCTATTAGAAAGACTGCAATTCAACAGCAACATCGCATGCATGTTTTTGCATGTTTGAGCAAGCCAGACTGATAAAACCAGCGAAAGCAACAGTGTTTAGCAGCGGCTATGAGTAATATAGGGATCGTGTTTTCAAAAGCTGAATTGTTTTTTGAAGCATGCGCAGGGTCCATCTAACTGAAGTTCTGGAGCTCGCAGTCATGTCAAATACAGATTACTCTAAAAGTCTATAAATAGACTAAAAAATGCAAATTAGAACAGTTATAGTTTGATCTACTGTGAAAGATCATATGATATGTGACATGATACGTCTAATCTGATGAGCTCAAGTTAAACAGCTGGGGCTGGGGCTTATAAATTCTGTTGTTAAAACACCTCTCTGTGAAGGATAAGTCCAGTGAACGTTTTCCTTTCTAATGGAAATTATTTACAATAACCTCGAGGCTGCCTGAAACATGGTATTTTCACTCAGGTAAAATAGTGAGTTGATGGCAAAAAACCAAAAACAATAACTGGCACCGATTTGTTTATCAAATGGAACGACTAGATGCAGACTGTGAACTTGGGGTTGACTTCTGTTTTATTGTTAATCTTTTGTTTTTTCACATTGTGCATTAAATCATTGACTTGCATGAGATTCTGCTCAGTTTCGATTACAACACTTCACCAGCTAAACAGTTTTTAGATGCATAAAACAGAATATTTTAAGATTCTTGGGCTCTAGGAAAAAACTAGTTGGTGTGATTACAATATTTATTTTCAATGACATTTACAGTGATAGAAAAGTTGCCAGAAATATCTAATGAGATCAAATCTGCACTCAAATAATGAAACGTGGATGCACACTGGAATGATCCTTTTGTTGAAATGCCCACATTTGTATTGTCAGTGATGACTGTGGGGACATACTGTATATGTGGAGTGCCACAATCCTTCGCCCTGCTCATGCTCTTGCTCCCATGCTTTCTACAAGTTAACTAGCTCACAGCAGAGTCCCTGATAGACACAAAGGCCTGACTTTACCATTGGTGTTGTACCACTGCCAGCTTAAATAAGGTTCGGTAGATGCATGTATGTTTACGGATGATCCAAAATTTGTTCAAAACTCACTGGAGAACTACTGTCAGAGGCATAATGTTTATATCTGGCATATGTGCTTAAAAAAAGACCAACAGTAGACCTCTAATAGGCTGTTTCTGCAAATATAGTTTCAGGTTGTCAGTCAAGCAAATAATCCAAGGCTTATTTCACCAGCCCTCTGATCCAAAAGCCTCTGGATGGTCAGCTATTATCAATAGCCACCATGTCAAGAGGATTATGGCCGAGAGTGAGGGCCAGTTAATGGTTTCGATATCAGCTACAGACTCCAAACAGTTCCAAGTATGACCAGTATGATCTCCAAACATTTGGAAGCATTGACTAATGACTATTGGTTTAGGCTAAAGCCATGAGTAGCTCAATATCACAGTGCTGCAGTATGTGTATTTGTGAGTATTAATTAGACAATAGCCTTTATATGAAAGGTGAATCAAATAGATCAAATATCACAGAAAATTGTAGATCACAAAGTAGACACAGCCATTAGATTAAATGGACCCCCGATATAATTAACAGAATAATCATGTTTTAACTAATGAGTACTAAACAAACAATTGTGACTATAACCTCGCCAGGAAAGTGTGCACTGGGGTTATAACCCTACTGAACAGTAGGGGGCTTCCTTTTTGTATAATTGTATTTATTATAAATAACCTCTTGTGGCCCCTTGGCTGACGACGTCATCCCAGTGGTCTACCTTGTCTATGAGTAGCTCTGCCTCACTCACAACACCTTACCTGCATAGTATCAGTGATCATTCTATTACTTGAATATAGTGCTATGAACTCTGTTTACAAGATGCTGTCAACTTTTGGGAGACACAGTGTTGTCTTTAAAAGGCTGCTTGGTATGTTCAATTCATCCACCTGGTATATCCAGTTATTCACACACTGAAAACGTACAAAAACATGAAACCTGCTGTTGCTTTTTTATACTGTATATGCCTTAATTCATATGTTTGGCAATCATGATTAAAGGATGTTTATATACATTTTTGGTCGGTGAAGTTTTCTTTTTTGTTTGTTTGTTTGTTTGTTTCTTCAGGATATTTGTGTTTCAACAGCATGTTGACCATTGGCTTTTTAAATGTTTGAAAAATAACTATGTGAAAAACTGTTTTATGTGATGAAGTGTAACACCTTGCATATGACAGGCAAACATCTGTCCTCTGTAAGGTACAAGTGATTTATAGGGTCCTGATGGAAAACGGTTAGAAGATGATACTAATAGTAATAATACAAGAAAAAAATATTTCAGTTAATTCATATTAATGAACGATCTGTCAGTCATTCAAAATAATACATGATTATTTGACATGGCTGTATTTAGAAGTTCGGTTTAAGTGTGTTGCTCTTTGCTTACTTGATAGTAGTAATCAAGGTTATTAATACTAACTAAAATTAAACTAAAATGAAAACTAGACTTGGAAAAAAAAATTTTTTTTTTTAATAAAAATAAGTGAAACTATTTTCTGAACTTGCAAAAGTAACTTTGTTTAAATTCAGCATTAATATTAGTTTGGTTAAAAAAAAATTTGTTATCATAACCTACCTGAGGCCTTCATGTACGGTGGCCCTGAGAGGCCAAACGGACTGCAACTTAAAAAAAACACCAGCAATAAGAAAAAAGGTTGCAAAAGCACACAAAACACAACGGAAATAGGAAAAACGACAATGGAAATAGGAAAACTGAAAGCAGTAATGATAAATTCCTGCAACTGGTCCGTCGGATTATTGTCTCCCCAGAAACACTTCCCTTGTGCTTTTGGAAGTCTGTTTTTTTTTTTCTATTTCTGTTTTCGCTTTTGCAGCATTTTTTTTTTTTTTTTTATTGCTGGTGTTTTCTTAAGTTGCAGTCTGTTTGGCCTCTCAGGGCCACCATATTCATGGCTGTGGTTAACAAGGACTGTCCAAAACATCACCTTCAGCACATTCCCTCCATGTGCTAACATAATGCTTTCAAAATTAACATTTTCAAACTATAGGAAGTAAATTTAAATAAGTAAACCCACACTGGAAACTAAATGAAAATCAGTTATATTAGAATTTTTAAAAAAAATCAAAACTAAATTACAAAATACTAAGAAAACACAAAACTATAATAACTCTGGTAGTAATAGCAGACGTAGCAGTACTAGTGGTAGTAGTAGTAATAGTAGTAGTAGTGGTTTACTTTTACTGCAGTTCCACCTCCTACCAGCATGAGGTGCTAAGAACTCGGGCGCCTTTATCATCACTTCCTCTTTGAAAACAAAATGGGTGGCGCCAAAGCTTGACAACAAAGCGGCTGTTTGCTGCCTGTAACGGTCGTACAGTT